GAAATATTCAGACGGAGAGGAAATCTGTCATGGTAGTACTTTACTAGCTAAATCACCGCAGTAACATTTGATTTATTTGTGTATTTCCATCACATGAGTGAATTCTTTACGATTAACTTCTGGATAAAGAACATCGTTCATTAATTTCCTTGCAAATTTACTTTCGAGATAGCTGAGTTACCTCACTGAGACTTGATATATCTACCTGAGTCTTGTGAGGCGGCCGCAGATGTCATGGATGGCGACAAGAAACAAATTTGCATTCGCTAGAAGTCTGCAAGAAGTGGTTTATTTTTCAAGTCTGCGTTGGCAGCAAATGAGTTACCATGTTTTCCTCGATTATGTGATTAGCACTGAATTCACTCAAAAGGAGAATTTACAGGTTGATCGTTATCTGACATAAACTTACTCATAAGGTTTGCCATAAGCCAGGTCATCTTCATGGTATCAGCTAAAACCTGAATATTGGAAAAAAAAAAAAGACATCAAAAATCCGTTCGGACAAAAAAAAAATTGATTGAGAGGCACTCGATCCGTCAAAACGGTTCTTCCCGCCTACTTTTTTAGAAGGTATATTTCATTATCCCGCATCCAGTCGAAAATTAAGCGGACTCATTTTTGCATCGAATGTTCGGGAGACCAGGCACGAAACTTTGTTTTTCTAACTGTTACTTGTCCTAGAAAACTCCAAAGATGTCATTATCTTTGCCGAAAGTTTATCCGGTATAACATCATCATACATTGATTTAAACGCTCTACAGACTAAGGTTGACCTAACGACACTGGGGACGAGTGACAGTCCTTGTAACTATTTTTCGAACCTCTCCATTTGGCGCTGATATTATTGCTAAAGCATTAAAACATTGAAGTTCAACGTTTCAATGCTTTGGAAAGTTAAGGCTGAATTGGTCCTAAGGCGGAGTTTTGCGATTACATGGTGTAGTGTAACCATAAGGTTTCAAAACTTGGTTGAATCGAAAGAAAAAGTAATCACCGAGCTGCAGTTCACTTACTTGCTTTGAATGAGGCATTTCCTCATTTCCTGAGGCTCAAACCCTCCCAACAAGCAGTGTTACAACTCGACGAGTCTGTATGGCAGGCGCTACAAACTGATGACGAACCTACAGCTTTCGCAAAATTTATATAGTGCTACGAACGTGACGAGCTAAGCTGCAGAAGATGCATAATTGACTCTATGATCTGACTACCAGGCAATATGCGCTACTTTACAACCATGGACGTGACTCTTGCTTAAGCGGGAGTGGCATTTACGCGACTATGAAATGCAATGTCCTGATTACTGATTTGACACCGTCCTGAATTCTGTTTTGTCTTCTGCTATCTAATGCTCGACTTAGAGAAACCAAAACCACTTAAATGCACCACTACGCGCCCCAGGTTGGAGGATTCCCCCCTAAAAAAATTTACCCGTTTCTTTCCCGCATTATGTAACCATGCGGTAATACAGGTATACAACTACATGATGTATCTGTCGATGCTAGAGTTAAACAAGCCTGCTACGTGAATAATGTATTGATAGAATCGCCTTATCATACTGCAAAATAAAGGATTTTTGTCTGTACAAGCATAATACAGTTCTGTCTAATAGGCACTTTCAAATACTACGTGACAAATTTTCGTTAATTGTACCGCTGTAATACAGTTTAAAAAAAAAGATTCTTTATTTACCTCTAGTCTGAACTTCGCATGATATTGCTGTTACTGTTTGCTTAAGTCCATTTTGGTATTTCAATTTGGTTGCTATTTTTTCTCCGATCTATCATCACTGCTCTTCTGAATACTCCGGAAATTTCTCTTTTACAACTAAAAATATAGAGATTACTTTTAATAAGGTTTTTAATCCTATAATTTTTTTAACGAATGAGTTCTTTCTGACATACGTGAGTAGGGTGTTTAAAATTTATTGGACTGGAAGGATACTGATCTTTTATAAATATGCACTTAAACAGTGGATAGCGTTGAAGGCGTGTTCTGACTGGCTACTGAACTCTGAACTGATCCTTTGTTATTCTTTAAAGGGTAACTGACGGTTAAAGGGTCACTTTTTCGGAATACCGCCTAAATGCCTCAGATAACACATTGAAACAGATGCAAGGTGCTTCGTATGCCTCTCCGTGCCTTTTTTCGCCGGGAGAACGATCCTAATTGCAGCTTCTTGAATCATGCGCCATTAACGCTTCGATTCTTCGAACATAAAATAGGGCACGAGAGTCAAAAAAGGATCATGGGCCCGTGCGCCGCGGCCGCCTCAATCAAGAAAGCGAGAATGGTGAGTAAATTTACGCTTGTAAATAAATTTTCTGCAAATCAGTCGCTTGTTAAATGTAGGAGCGATCAAGTAAAGAAAGCCAAATGTGCAGACTCTTGAATACCATGAGAGCGAAGTGTTTCTATGCTACACGTACGCACCTTCCGAAGCTAAGGTTTCACTGACTGAAAATATAAGCATGCACGCTTGTGGAGGTGAATTGGATGGATTATATACATTTCAACACAATTTAATCGGTTTTAAGTTTTCCTGTGTTGAATTTGGCGAACTATTAAAGATTTCTCGGCTTTTAATTTC